CCTTCTACTCCAGAATAGGTCTGCGGAAAGGCTCCCTCTGAGATGGCTTCCTACTTCTCTGGACGGGCGGTCTCATGTATGTGTTCCTCCCGTTCCCGTTGATCCACAAGGTCCTCCAGAAGATCTGGCAGGACTCCACAGGGGTGATACTAATCACACCAGCATAGCTCCACCAGCAGTGGTTCGGCACTCTCCTGAGCCTCCTGCAGTGGGGCCCCTCACCCATCGCTACTTCACCCAGACTTCTTGTCCCAGGACCATGGCCAGATTCCAGGGGAAACAAAACTCACGTAGTACCAAGAGTTTTATCAATACCAAACCTATAGTCTGCACCGAGGGGATCGTAGCCAAGGGTGGTAACAATACTGAAGGTCGTGGATGCTTCTTCTGTGTCAAAGAAGGAGAAAGTGTCTTTCTGGTACTGATGGGCTTCTTCAGGACCAAGGAAGGAAAGGAAGGAAGAAGAGCCTTTCTGGTACGGATGGCCTTTCTAGGCCCAAGGCTTTACTGACTTTCAGTCTAGCCATGCCGTAGGGAGCGCAGGATAGCTGACAATACTGATGTAGGCAGCTCCTAGGGAGCCTGTGTATAACCGTGATTAAAGGTGATGCTTACTGGTTAACCCGTTGATCTTTCACGTCTTTATTTTATAACCTATATGGCCGGTAAATTTAATTACAGTATGGTCACACTATTACCAAGTAATTCAGTTATAGTCACCTCTTGGACCAGACTCTGTACTCCCTTTAGGACTAAATCAAGAATTGCCTCTCCCTTTGTGGATTCCAGAACTAGTTGCTCCAAGATGCAGTCATTTAAGTTGTCAAGAAGCTTTCTCCGCACATCCTATCCAGAGGTGACATGTACCCAGTTATATGGGGTGACACAGACCATAGCCTGCAAACCACAAAGCTCTTATAGAAGGCAGCCATATTGGGAGGTGGGTTAATGCTTTCTTGTTTCCAAATTAGTCTCACCTGAACACAGGTCAACAGCCAAAGTAGAAAATAGAGGCCTAATTAGGAGGCAGCTTGCAGCTGGGGTGAGTTAAGCACCTGCTGCAAACTGAGGCCTACGGGGCCTCTATAAAAGGATTCCTCCCAGGCAGCAGGGAAGGAGTTTTTGGAAGGTGCACAGAAGAGAGCTGGAGAGCAGAGCAGAGCAAGGAAATGCTGAACCCCAAGGACTGGCCTGTGATGAGACTGACTCAGTAAGCAGGAACCCTTGCCTCTAGGGAAATCCCAGGGCAACAAAGGGGGCTCCATGAGTCTCTGAGGCACTCAAGTAACTGCCAAGAAGCGCAGAACCCCCAAGGAGCTACCAAGGGATTTTGTCTCAGGGGATAGTTGAAATCCCTCTCCCCCGCTTTTTTTAATAGCCTCTGTAATTGCCCTGAGCATTTCATAGTCACCAACACCATCCCGATCAGGTGATCAATAGTATATCCCTAGTGTTATAATCTTATTATTCAAGCATGGAATATCTATTCAGAGAGATTCTATCGTACTGATTGGTTGATTTCAGATTTTTACTACATTTGATTCCCTGCTCTCTTTCACATATAATGCCACTTGCCCATCTCCAAGACCTATTCTATCATTCCTATATATATATTGCACCTGGTATTGCCATGTCCCATTGATTCCATCTAATTTCTGTGGTGCCTATTATATCAATATCGTCATTTAATGATCAAATTCACCCATCTCAATATGTAGACTTCTAACATTTAGATACAAGAATTTTTAAAATGTATCACTTTTTCAGCTATCTGCCATTATGTGGCGTAAATGAATGGGACTCTTTCATTTGAGTAACTCCCACAGACCTTGGGAGGCATGTAGATCAGTCCTCGCTTACAGACAGCCCCCCCCCATCCCAAACTGAAGCAAATACTCACCAGCAGCTACACATCACATAACAGAAATCCTAACCCAGGAACCAATCCCTGCAACAAACACAGCTGTCAACTCTGCCCACACATCTACTCAAGTGACACCATCACAGGACCTAACTATATCAGCCACACCACTGGAGCTCTTTCACCTGCACATCTACTAATGGGATAAACACCTTCATGTCCCAGCAATGCCCCTCTGCCATGTACATTGGCCAAACCAGACAGTCTCAATGCAAAAGAATAAATGGACGCAAATAAGACATCAAGAACGGTAATATACAAAAACCAGTAGAACACCTTAATCTCCTTGGACAATCAGTAAGATTTAGAAGTGGTCATCCAGCAACAACAAAACCTTCAAAAGCAGACTTCGAAGAGATACTGCAGCGCTGAAATTCATTTGCAAACTTTACACTATTAATCTGGATTTGAACAGGGACTGGGAATGGCAGGCTCACTATAAAAGCAATTTTCCCCCTTTGAGTCACCTCCAGCCTGAATGAACTAGCCTTGTAAGCACTGGTCCTCCACTTGATAAGGTCCTTCACCTTCTTTCCATGTGCTAGTATATTTATGCTTGTCTATAATTTGCACTCCGTGCATCTGACGAAGTGGGTTTTTGTCCATGAAAGCTTATGCCCATATAAATCTTGTTAGTTTTTAAAGTGCCACAGGACTCCTCATTGTTTTTGTGAATACAGACTAACACGGCTACCCTCCTGGTACCTGATTTCATTTGACTGTTTTTCCCCTAAAGAATGTGTCTGTCTGAACAACGTGCTCTTTTCAAAACTGTCAGCTTTTCCCCAACCCCTTAGTTTAGAAACTGCTGGCATGTAAAATAAAAATGTGATACAATCTGCTTCTATTTATGTGGAGCCCATCTTAGCTGTATAGGCTCCTCCATTTCCAAAAGGTTCCTCAGTTCTTAACAAATCTAAATCTTTTCTCCCTACACCATCACCTCATGCAGGCATTTAGATCCTGCAGTTCTGACCGTCTATCTGGCCCTGTGTGGGGAACAGAAAGCATTTCAGAGAATATCATGGATTTTAAACTCTTACCTAGCAGCCTAAACTGGGCATTCCAGGCCCTCTCTACTTTCCCTATATCACTGTATATCTATATATACTATGTATGGTATTTATATATACTATGACCACTGGTTCCTTACCAGCACTATATGTAAGCCTGTCTAAATGTTGAGAGATCTGCAACTTTCACCCCCAGCAGGGAATTCACCATGTGGTTCTTTCTGTCATCACAAGCCCCATTATCTATCTCTCTAATGACTATTACCTAATCATTAAATCCCCCATTACTATTACAAAGAAATGGATGCCCCAGTGACAATGAAAAGTACTCAGGGAATATTGCTGACTACCTACTGAATGTGCGCTTATCACTGCTATGGGCAAAAGGGCTGATGCGATTCTAGTATGAATAATTAGGGAAGAATATTGACTATAAGGAGGGAGGTGATATTACCTGAAGTATATAGTACTGCTGAGACCATCACTGGAATCCTTTTTCCAGTTCTGGTGTCCACACTTCAAAAAAGATGTTGAGAAACTGGAAAGGACTCAGAGTAAAACTAAAGAAGGATTCATGGCGTGAAAAGCCTCTCACAATTAAAAACAGAAGTAGCTCAACTACTTAGCTTACGGAAGATTAAGAGGCTACTTGACTATGGTCCATAGCTGCCTATACAAGAAGATGATACCAGACAGAGGGCTCTGGCTGCTGAAAGTAAAGATATAAAAAGATCCAGTGGCTGGAAACTTAAGTCATCATTGTTAAGACTGGAAATAAGATGTTTAAAAATTAACACTTAGGTAAATAATGACTGGAACAGACTACCAAGAGATGTGATTTTAAAAATTAACACTTAGGTAAATAATGATTGGAACAGACTACCAAGAAATGTGAAAGTCTCCATTAACTTGGAATCTTTAAATCAAAACTGGGTCTCTCTAAAAGGCTAGGACAGCCTTTTTGTGATATATGCAGGAAGTCACTGGGAGAAACCGTATGACCCACTTATACAGGAGATCAAATTGGATGATTATGAACATCTCTTACAGCCTTTATACTTATGGATCTATAAACATACAGATACAGTACCACCCCCAAGAGATAACAAATATAGCATAAGGTATATTTAAATGTTGTAACTGAAAAAAGTAATGAGGTAACTATTTACTTTCAAAGATTTCATTCTGAAAGTTTATATAGAGTGACACTGTTCAAGCTTAATAATTTGTGTGAGATGCTACATGCCTAAAAACCTTTCCTATTTGCTTAGCCACTGCAAAAATCACAGCACTGATTTGAATCCACAATCCTGTTTTCCATAGGCATTTACAGACATACTTTAAACTAAGGCACCAAATTCTCAGTCTTACAAAGGACACATATGCATCAGCTTGTGCACTCATACTTGCAGTTTTGAGTAAAAGTGGAATTTTGCTCAACCTCTCTCACTGAATCAGGCTTTGAAAATTTAGTTTCAGTTTGCCAGCAAATAGTCATCAGAGGTAGAATTCCCACCACCGCAATCAAATTCCAAGTCATACGACACGTCTTCCCACAAATACCTCTTCAAGAAAACACTGTGCAATCAAGTCAGCTTTCTTCATTGGTACTTGGACCCATCCATAATGGATTTCAGAAACAAAAAAAATATGGTGGAGTCCAGATTCCAAAGGATTTGGAGGAATAAAAATCACACAAGAGCCTCTTCAAACACATTATCAAGTTTTCAAAACATACTTGACTTATTTCTATCCAGGTCAGCTCATCTCAGCTTCCCTTTTCACCAGTTCTTTCTTTTAAGATATCTTCATTTGCTCATTTTCTTTTGTTTGGCTGAACTGCTGCTTGCCTTTCAACCAAGCTCTTCAATTACTAGTATTTTAACTTTATACAGCACACAGATATGTTGTGGCAGGTTTCTCTCTACATCTCTATATAACATACAAAATCAACAATGGTGGAGATCTGAGAAATGTGTATTATGCATGTGTGTGTGCGCACATATATAAATACAGATTGTTTTTACAGCGGATGTGAAATCAAAATCTCATTTTTAATGCCTTACTTTGTAGGACGTGGAACTTAATAGGTGAGCAATATTCTGAACTGCTCCATGGTTAAACAATATTGTCTGATGATCTGGACCCTATTAAGGGAAAAAAGAGAGTATTCTTTTAAAAAAAGAATATGGAAGAGGCTTTCTGTTAACTGCAACTTCAGTAGGTACTAAAATGTAGGTTTTCCTGCCATTCTTTGCTTTGTAAATTTGAGATGTGCTAGTTTCTTTACTGGCTGAAGCTAATCTTCTGTTATATTCATTGAGCTTGACCTATTTATTGATATTAAATTTCATTCTTGGAAGAAAATACCAAAACTAGAGAGATAAGGAGTAGAACGAGTGAAGTTATTTCATTTTTATTGATGAAGGAAGAGTTTTACAATAATTGATAACAGGGATCTTATCTTTCATTTCTCATCTAGTGCTACTGAAACAATATGTTACCAATCTTTGCAATATTACATAAGAATCTCAATAATATACAAGACCTCTTACATGGCTAATCCCTTGCATTTTCAGCAATAATGACTCCAGAAAATATAGCAAGCAACCAATTCTAAAACTATTTCTATATATTGGAATGTGCCTCAGCTGCTGACAGTGTTGTGAGACTAGGTCTCACTCCTACACATGAAATCTATTTTTAAACATTTCAAGTATATCAACAGTAAAGACAGCTAACCAAACTTATATTTAAATATTTAAAGAGCTAGTAAAATAAGTGATTGGAGTGTTAAAACATTGTTCAGCTTTGAAAAACTCAGTTTGAAAGAAGTCCAAAAACTGACCCTTATCTTATCTACAAGACACAAGTCTTACAATCTCTGTGGTCTGACCAGACCCTACAGAGGCAGAGGAGAAATGGAACCCTAAGGGGACCTCCTAAGATCAGAAGTTTCAACGAATCCTAGGTGATGAGTGTAGTGGCGCGTCAGAGTTCCCTCTGCAGGAGTGCCCCCAACCTGCAGAACTGTCTGGCAACTTCAAAATAGAGACGTCAGATAGAGATGATGGGCCTCATCAAGACTGAGGACGTCTGGAGGAACAAAGGCACAATCCTGACAGACTCCTTCCTGCTCTCACTCTTGAGTGGATACCTTTGTTCCCCATCCCTGGTTTATCTAATCCTCCATAGCTGATTGACAGGTACTGCTGTGCCCTCAAGGCTATAGTGGTCTCTGCTTAGTATGAGCATGGGGATAGAAGGGCAGGACCCCCAGTCATCACACAGGCTCGCTGCCCTTTCAATAGCTCCACAGACCCATTCCTGTGGAACAACTCTATGGCCCATTGCACACCAAACTGATCATTTTTTATACTGGTAGAATGAGTAAGGAATCAAGGGACTGGTATTCCATTTGCAAATGTGTAACAGTCAGACTGTTCGTTAAATTTCTAAAGAGTGTCACCATTGGCAACAGCACATCGCCACAAACTACATAATCCCTATCAATAAACGTCAGTACCCTATACCCTAGAACCGTGGCATCTGACACACTGGCCACATGTGGCTATTTGGCTGGTTGAGTGTGACTAGTTGGCTTGAACAATGTGGATCTTTGGCCGGTTG